CCCCCTACGGGGAAATGGATTACCCTTTGGGGTTCAAAGTGGTGTCTATCTGAAACCCCCGTAAGCTAGTGGAGTCTGAGGATAAAGATAAAGATAAGTTATGGGTGCCAGTGGCAATGGATCTTAAGTAGAGTAAATAAAGGGATGCAAAGGTAATGTGTTCTAGGAAAGAGGTAAGTTACTTCTTGATAGATTAGGGGGGGGCCCATCCCTAAAGGGATGATCCTTGAGGCAATCGTAAAAGATAGGCAGGTAAGCTTCTGATGTATGATATCCTGTACTACATCCCGTAGGGACGCCTCTTCCCCTACGGGGATGATTTAGGGCATTGAGAGATTCGAACTCCCGGCCACGGTATTAGAAGTACCGTGCTCTATCCAGCTGAGCTAAATGCCCATGATCCCCGCTCCGCGGGTATCGAAGATGTAGGAGGGTGTCCCCTCCACCATCGTAGGTCCCCCGACCGTACATCCTTCGGATCGTAGGTCCAAGGGACCATACAGGCTTCCCTGTCTTCTAAGGGATGGTAGCCTGCTACGAGGATCGTAGGTCCCCCGACCGTAGCTTATGTCCCCGGGGGGATCGTAGGTCCAAGGGACCGTACAGCCTTCTCTCTCCCTCCGGGAGAGGCATCCAAGGAATCGTACATCCCCCCTAAGAGTAAAAGTAAGATCGGGGGAAGTAGCATAGCATCATGGAGGGTGGTTACCGAAGGTGTAGGAGGGTCCCTACGGAACCCTCCACCATCCTCCTACACTGGTGGAATGCAAAGCTTGCTCCTACGGAAGCCCTCCTATGTGTACAGGTACACCTACACGCCCTCCCGAGTAGCACCCCCCCGTGCTACGGGGGGTGCCCTTGTCCTCTACGAGGGTCGTGGCCCTCCTACATGTAACATGAGATCCGAAGGATCTTACATCCCTTCGGGAGTAGCATCCCTTCTTTCGGATCTACGATATGGTGGAGCCCTCCTACACGCCCGCTCTCCTTGAGTGTCATTCTCATTGTGAGTGTCATTCGCCCCGTAGGGCTACGGGATCTCGACCCCACCTCTGGGAGAGATCTGAATGTGAATGCCGACAGCATTGTATATCCCCGGGGTCGTAGATCCATACTCTCTGATAACTATAAGAGTTGCTCCGAAAAAGAATTGAACTTCTTCCCCACCCTTTTCAGGGGTGTGTACTAACCATTATACTATCGGAGCTTTTTTTACGTTAAACCCCTTAAGATGTAGGTGTTGCGGGATTTGAACCCACAGCCAATACATTAAAAGTGTAATGCTCTGCCTTATTGAGCTAAACACCTTCTAGGGTGTAAGGGGTGGTTAAGTGGGAGAGAGGTGTCCTATCTTATCTTGTCCCCTTGGGGTACAAGTGATATCGATAAGGGGTAGCTGACTCAGGGGGAGTAGAGATATACTGTGTTATAAAGGTAAGAGTACACAAGGAGATGGCAGAAGATAAGCTAATGGTAGAGGGCAGAAGCCCTCGTACATGGAAGATCTCGTAGAGATCTCCCATCCCCTCGGGAAGACTGTAGCATAAGAGGGTGGGGGGACCCTTATAATCTATCCTACAGGCACCCCTCCTTCGGTA